CCATTTTATACCGTTAATTAACCATTAATAGGTCAAAATAAAGTAGGGACTCCTCTGAATAAATATTCATTTCATAAATACTAAAAGACTGTTTGTTTAATGTCTTAAATGGGAAAAAATACTGCAAAGTAAAGTATTTGTGATTTTTAAACTTAATTTTTTTTATTCAACTTTGAAACTTTTTTGGGCCCCTGACAGCTGTGGGCCCTTAGAATCTTCCTAATCTTTCACCACTTTACGGCGCCCCTGTCCACAGCGGTCAAGTAACGTCACGTGACACGGGAGATAACGTTATATTTTATACGTATTAGTTTCAATATAAATATATAATGAGCAATTACTTTTTAAGTTGTGTATATATTTGTTAAATTAAATATACAAGTGAGTTACTACCCGCTTTCCTCCGAAGCTGCAACTACTAAGCAACTAACCAACCATAGATAACTTCTTTGGATCTGAAAAAAACATTTTTAATTAGTTGACCTATTGTAAACTTGAAAATTGTCCCCGAAGTAGCTGCTGGCATCTGATCCGCCATCCTTTTGAACATAACACGGTGTATTCTGGGTAATTGTTGACCAAGGCTAGGCTACAAGACACCTCCCGTGTATCCTCGATCAGCTAGCTAAACGGCTAACAAACAGAGAACACACGCCTCGGTAGAACATGAACATCGGAACACGTCTTGGCGGCTCCCGATGACTTATCTCCTAGGCAACCGGGGCGGGGCCAAGACATCAAGGCGAGGTTCCTTGGCATTGAGAAACACCTCTGGTTTTAGTTTTCCATTTAAATTTAGTTTTAAAAAATGCTAATCTGGCTTTTAGTATATTGTATCATGTCCCCTGTATTGTGATATATATCATATCATGAAAACTCGGTTGTCACCGGTATATCTCCCCTTTTGTCATTACTTTGATAAACCCTTTATTTTTTTACCATAATCAGAGGCTGTGTGTTTCTCAATGTCAAGGAACATTGCCTTGATGTCTTAGTTCCCAGTTGCTTAGGAGAAACGTCATCAGGAACCGCCAAGGTGTGTTCCGGTGTTCACTTGCCACAGAGGCGTCTGTTCTCCGTTTGTTAGCTGTTTAGGTAGCTGGCCAAGGATACACGGGAGGTTTCTTGTAGCCTAGCCTTAGTCAAAAATTACCCAGAAAACAGGACAGTATTTTCAAAAGGAACATGTGAAAGACTTAGCTACTACCTCGCCAAATTAGAGCTCAAGACCTGTACAATAAAACAAGTTGTAGCCATTTTTTTCTTTGCTAAGGTCAATTAACTGTGATGGCCATCTTGAATTGGGTTGACCTAAATTCTTACTTTTTAAGTTTTCATAATCCATTGAGTTATTTGTTTTGATATTTAGCTAAAACTACAACTGAACACTAGTAAGAAACATAGTCACCCACCATTCGTCTTTCAGCAGCAGGCAAGAAAGCTGTGATGAGCTTTTTATTTTCTCGGTCATCAGATACAAACGTTGTTTCTTGGTATAATTCAGCAAAAACCAGAATGAGCTAGCATGCAACAACCTAATTACAGTTTGCTAACATTTTAGCATCATGGTGCTATCCAAGTAAGCCATTTAAAAATCACGTGTAATCATTTTAATTACAGTGGGTACGGAAAGTGTTCAGAGAGCCCTGTAGATTTTGGACTCTGTTATATTGCAGCCATTTGCTTAAGTCAATTAAATTCATTTTTTCCTCATTAAGGTACACACGGCGCCCATGATGACAGAAAAACACAGATTTTTAGACATTTTTGCTGATTTATTAAAAAAGAGAAAGTGAAATATCTCATGGCCATAAGTATTCAGACCCTTTGCTGTGACACTCATTTATTTAACTCAGGTGCTTTTCATTTCTTCTGATCATCCTTGAGATGGTCCTACACCTTCATTGGAGTCCAGATGTGTTTGATTACTGATTGGACCTGATTAGGAAAGCCACACACCTGTCTATAGAAGACCTTACAGCTCACAGTGCATGTCAGATCAAATGAGCATCATGAGGTCAAAGGAACTGTCCGAAGAGCTCAGAGACAGAATTGTGGCAAGGCAAAGATCTGGCCAAGGTTACAAAAACATCTCTGCACTAAAGGTTCCTGAGAGCACGGGGGCCTCCATTATCCTCAAATGGAAGATGTTTGGGAACCAGAACCCTTCCTAGAGCAGGCCGTCCAGCTCTAGGAACTCTGTCAGTAACTCTGAAGTGCCTTTTTTTCCCTCCACCTGAACCAATCCTCATGTAACCCTCTTATCTCTATTAAGGTAGAGCCACTCAGGGTTGCGAATGACCACAGTCACCAAATCTTGTCATGTGTCTTGCCCATGTATGTCTGATCTCAGAATTGTGTGTACTGAAACTAATTTCCCTCTGGGGCAAATAAAGTATCTTTGATTTGATTTGACTTTGATATAAATAGATGCTGTGTCACTGTTGAGACTATCAGATGATTGTCTTTAGTAATAATCAGAACAATAAGGCAAAACTGAATTAACTCATGTGTTGTGTAGGATGTT